GGGGAGTGACTTATATGTAGGTAGAAAAATGTATGCGTGGAGACAGTATGTTCCGCCCCCCCTTCGAGGGGGCTTCACCTCGATAAAAATAACTCTACCCACCCTATGTCAGAGGTGTGGAGTGGATCTCGCTTCACGTGGAAAGTTGCAAACCCATGTGGAACAGTACAACGGCGGAAGTACATGCGTGGAGACAGTATGTTCAGCCCCCCTGCGGGGGGGCTCCACTTTGTTAAGATATAACCTAACCCAAACTACGTTCGAGGTGTGGAGTGGATCTCGCCTCACGTGAAAAGTCGCAAATCCATATGAATCGTATATGTACTACAAAGCACATGCTTATTGTTAGATGAGAGGACAGATATAAGATTTAGAGTCCATCATTTTTCTCGAAAACTATCACTCGTAGAGTAAAAATGAATAGAACATAAAATATATATTTTAATGAGATCTACAACTTTTGTTTAAAACATTTTTCAAAATTTTTAATATTTGTGCCTGAAAATTACATATAAATGGTCGACATTGTTTTTTTAATAACTTTTTAATCAACAACGAGCGATGGCTAAAACCTTCTGAGCGTTACTCAGGAGGGTAACCTTGACAATACATGTCAAGGTCAAGGTCATCGGAGCTGACTCCCCTATGGTGAACAATTACCCAATTTACATATACTCGTATGTATACATATAATATAAAATATAATGATTTTTTACTCTTGCTTCTATAGTCAAGTCAGTTATAAAGTCTCATATAAAAAAAATTAAATTGAAATTTAAACGCCAATTGTTAGGACCTAGGCAAGGTTGTGGCCATTATATTGCTAAGTGAACCCATATACCGTATTTTCCTACCCTGTACTGCACGCCGTTACTATCGGACATGTAACACAGATTTTCCCCTAGGTAGGATCATTATCGTCAGTGAATTCACGTGTTCTAAAAATTGCAGAGTGTGATAACCCCGCGAGAAGTATCGAAAAGATCTCTTGTATTTAGGTCTAAGTTGTATTAGTCTAAGAGAGCACACGGCGCTCGCGTACGTCACAGGCATAAGCTTTTGAGTTTTTCCCCTCTTGAATACAGCTTGCCTATGTTCTTTTTCTCTCCCCCTTCGGCCTCGTGACACACGCCGCGCCAGTGCGCTACTCAATACACGTGTTCTTCTACTGTATCCGCGGACAAGCGATAGTTGCTTTCCGTATTAATTTGTTATACACGTAATACAAGTACTTGTATACTAAGTCGTGTGTAGTGCTTTCAACAGCCTAAATCCCTGTCACAGAGCGATTTTTGCAAATTACTTTAATTTAATTTTAATGCTATACTTAGCATTATAAATTTACCCTTTTCCCTATTGAATTAAAATTCTTATTGCGAAAAATATTACCTCAGCCAGGATTCGAACCTGGGACCTCCCTCAATCCGTGACGGGCGTCTTAGCCAGCTCGACCACTGAGGCTGTGATAATACTATTCGCAATAACATGTACATGTATGTTACTTTAAAACGCTCTCTCGGCCGCGTGCGTATAAACAACGATAAATATTCTCTATCTATGTCCGATAGTAACGGCGCGCAGTACAGGGTAGGAAAATACGGTATACGGATTCACTTAGCAATATAATGGCCACCACCTTGCCTAGGTCCTAACAATTGGCGTTTAAATTTCAATTTGATTTATATCTGAAAAAGGACCAAGAAATATTTATCGTAGCACTCTCGGCGCACGTTTCCGGGCCGCGAATAAATCAACAAGGATTGTACTGAACGAGCAAAACTTTATTCAATAACGATAACACGTCTTCTCTCTCCAAAGAGCTCAGAGACAAATCCTCTAATCAATAATAGTCAATCGCACATCGGTCCTTCACGACCGACGTTTCCATCCGCCGCGACTTCAGCCCGCGGCTGGCGCGCATTCACCGGACGTCGCAACCGAGCACGGGCGTAACAATATTTTTATTTTATTTTGATATATTATGACACGTGTATAAAGAGTTTCTATTATGACGCTATCGGTAATAGTTTTGTATGCAAATATAGAGCTTTCCCTTTGCCACCTATAATATTCATAAAATCAGTGTTTTAAAAGCTTGCATTCGCTTTACGAATAAATTTCACACGAAGTGGATGAGATGGTCGAAGAAGCAAATCAACGTTCATGCGAATATTTTTTAAATAATCAATGGGCTCCAAGTAGAAATTATGTATCAGAGGAGCTATCATCGCCTTCATTTCCAGCATAGCATATCGTTGGCCTACGAATTGGTATCATAACGTATTATAAATTCTTTATATAGCAGGGGTATATCAGGATTTAAAAAAACGTGTATCTTACCGATGCAATTTCGTGGTCCAGCACTGAATGGTATATACGAATAAGGATGACGATTTCGGATCCTCTCATGCAAAAATCTATCAGGATCGAACACTTCCGGATTTGGCCAAAAATTGGGATCTCTATGGACTGAGTAAATATTAAGATACAGAAGTGTTCCAGCAGGCACCAAATATGACTCTAGAAAACATACAATACCACAAGATTTACAAATAATAGTAGGAAAATTATTAAAATTAAAGGTAATTGTGCATAAAAGCGACTTCCTCTCCGATTCGCTTGACTTTTAAATATGTTGTTGGGGATGTCTTCCCGAGTAATTTCATATATACAGG